GCCCCCTTAGCATCTCTGTCCTCTACAGTGTTTCATCTGACAGTGGCGCGCTCTCAATCGAATTCGAAGTTGTAGCCACCATGTGTTAGCGAAAAAGTCAGATGACCACAAGAGGGGCCATGCGAGGCTCAGCTGACAACTTACTTTTGGTGGGTTTGACGGTTGCTTACCGTTGATAAGACTGAACACAGATCCAATGATGTAGAGTGGGGTGCAAAAACGTTTGCGTCAGCCGGGATTTAAATCCAGATCTTACTCTTTCTTGAAACCCAATATCTGTCAACAAAAAGTGGGTCCCCATGTCGATAATGACTTCTCCGCCACACCGTAGACGGTTGACTTTTGACAGATAACGCGTTGTAGCGTAGAAAGAGTGGAGTGCAGAGCGAGCGTCGGTGGTGCAACGGTTTAGCACATGCTCCCGGAAAGAGTAACATCTGGGTTCAAGTCCCGGCTGATGCAAACGTTTTTGCACCCGACTCTAGATCATTGGATCTGTGTTCACTCTTATCAACGGTACGCAACAATGGGACGAAGAACGAAGAGGTAGTTGGTGAGATATAAGTGAACCAACGTTTGTGTACGGGGTAACACGTTGTTACACCTGATTGTGGTTGATTAATATCGAATACATAAGCATTCTTGTCATAGTTTACTTCGGCATTTTGACAGGAAGACGAAGAGTAGTTTTCCAAAAATCGCACAACTTTCTTGATTTCCATTACGGCCGTGTCGCAACTTCGTAGGCGATGTCGTCGTGCAATGATGTCTTCACGCATCCAAATCGGACGTTTCACGCCGTTTTTCGACAGTACTGAGTACATGCGGTGAAATTTTATGACCTGCTTCTGTAGAGCTGAATGGTATGCAAAGCTCCTAAATTGTTCCAAACAAGCAAACTACCCCCGAAATCTCATAGCTTTCGTTTCAAGTGTTTTCTTAAGACCACGCTCAAAGTTCAGTATGCCAATTAATCACTTTTTCAACCACGCATGTGGTCTATTATATAGGGCTGACTGAAATGGCCCGATACATGTGTTTCGACCTTGACAGTCTCACCAGTCGAGCGGCACACTTCGTTTTCGCCAATCCTCTCGGGGAACTCAATCTCCTATAGGAGAAGTAGGCGACGACGGACATTTTACACCAACCATCAATCAAAATTATCGCTGAATGGGTAGTATTGTTCACTCGATTGTTCTTGGCTGGTATCGTCAATGTATCATATCATTCGTTTTAAGTGTTTTCTTAAAATCACGAGAAGAATGATAATTTGACGATACCAGCCAAGAGCCGTTGAGTGTAGAACACTGCTCATGAAACTGGACTGTCAAGGTCGAAACACATGTATGGGGCTATATAAGTTTGCCCTATAACAACCGCATGACATGTTGGCTCAATTAATATGCAAAAGACAATTCAAGTACACAAATAAGTATAAATAAGTATTAATCGCAGATTTTTAAGCGGAACACGTCAACATCCACGCATTTCATCATTTAAATTGTTCATTTAATTTGACTTGTTTTCGTTTATTGTGCAGATGGAAGTGCTTCGCCTATTCATCACATATCTTTCTCCCTCTATCCATGAAATCCTCGGATTTGAGCTTGACTTCTGCCTCCTGTTGGCGACTTTTTATTCTTCCTGACTGCCACTAAACGCTTTAGTACAACTGATTTATCCAACAAATCTCGACACTTATCTATCAAAGTATTCTCAGGCTCTTACAACCAGCTGTCGCCCATCTTTGCAAATTGGAGAGGGTTTCCCCCTGTATATGAATCTGCTATCAAAATGTCAACGGATAGAGAGCCTGTTCGTCTCAAACTGAGCTCGAACCAGCGACCATGCACTTGATGCATGCAATATTCAAACACCACGCTATACGATCCACGAAATTTAACAGCTTAGAAGAAAGTGGAAGAGCATATGAAAAAACTTCAAAAGAGCCCTTTCGTTGTTACGTTCCATGAGTGTAATCTCGTTGAGATAGGTAAATATCATAAGCTGAATTGCTGAAGTACATCACCGTTTAATCGCTCAACTGGCTGAGCTGTTATTGATCACTAAATTAATATAATTTTGGATGTGGCAGCAAAAAAAAACTCTAGTTTACGCGTGAATTTGACACTGTTCTCACGTTAACGCTGATAAAAATCAAAAACACAGTATTTTTCAGTACTATAAATTACGTAAACAAGACATTCCATCAGATCACGTGTTGATGTCTGAATGCGGTAGAAAAGGCTATAAAACAGAGAACTATGGATAAAGTACATTTACCAACGCGAGAAGAGAAAGCCAGTGTAAGGATAGGAGCGTCAGACGTCGAACAAGGCAAACCCACCCCAATCGCTCCCGATCAAGAAGCCCACGTTTGCACAGATCACGCCGCCTTTCCCCATCATGTGATAGGAACACGTCTCCTGTGAGTGATAGTTTAAAAAAAAGTTTCTACAATTTTCCATATTGGTTCATCTAAGCAGACTCTCTAGCACTTTACTCTATTTTTTATCCATCCCACAGTTTTCTTTTTTCACAGTGCGGATTCCACAACTTCTCGCATTCAGTCCGTTTTTGGAGTTCTAGTGAGCGTATCAGAATATTGGTTGAGCTCGTTTCCTTGCACTTTCGGGTATAGCATAGCTGCGGCATTCCACAGGACGTTCGTTGTTGACTGACAAAGAGTGTTAGAGAGTAGTGATCAACCTAACATCGCGATGAGCATCAAAATCGCTTGGTTACGCTCCCAACCCCCTTCCGCCGTTTAACAGGCAAATATCCTTAAGTGGTTCTAGGTGGGCGGCAACAAGTTCTAGGAAAAAATCTGATACTTAGAAAAAAAGCGCATCCAAGAAAGAAAATGTGGATTCAAGAAAAAATTTGGATCCAGGCAAAGATCTGGATCCAAGACCATATCTGCATCCACGCAAAATCTGGGTCAAAGAACAAACCTGGACATAGGAAAGAAAAGTGGATTTAAGAAACAATCTGGATCTATGAAGAAGTCCGGTTCCAAAAAAAATCCGCATCTGAGAAGAAGGCAGCAGATTCCAGCTCTCCTAAACAGGAACCGTGAGTATTTGTATATGCTGACTTTATATCTGATGGATACGACAGATTGCATTATATTTTTTTCATAAAAATTCTCACTCTTGACGCTCATCAAAAGGAGCAGTTTTTGCACTTTAGGCAATATTGATAATCTCAATGAAATGCGCCTGAATCTGTCACTCTTCATCCAGCTTAAAAACCTTCATATTTGCGCTCACCTTCGAAAAACTTCTATTTCCTTGAATTCCATTATTTGTATATTGGACAAACGTCAGTTAATGTCTCGTCGTGACTACAGCTGGAAATCATGAGCGGTCAATCGCGATAACCTTTGTGAATTAAGTACACCATCTACACAGTTCTTTGGAGTCCTCGAAAGCTTTCTTTCCTTTGTCTTTTTTCTTTTGTTTCATTAGTGGAAGAGCAAGCTTGTAATTTTCCAGGGGAAAGTTGTTCATGATGTTGATTGGCTATCGATAGTTTCACACGAAAATACTTCAGAAGTTCAAAGCGATTGAGTATCGACCACTAACAGCTCAAGGAGATTGAAATTGAGAAAATCAACATTAATACAATTTTTGACATAAACACACCTATGATGATGCTCTTGTTTTTCTTTAGCTAACGTGTTTCAAAAGCAGATTATCCAAACTAATCCTGTTACCGGTACGTCCACCACGCGCTCCCTAAGGTCATCACGTTAAACATATCGAATTAATGGTTTGTTTAGTGATTCAAATTTTTTGACATGCATATATAGTGTACAGCGTCGTACCGTATCAAAATTTTGTTGCAGCAGATATACCTTGAAGAATACGAAGCATCGGAAAGGGAGTAGGAAAAGATGTTGTTTGCAGAATAAATTTTCAAATGTGTATTTATAAATATATAAATGATACGCCAGAGGTTGCAAGATGAGCAAATCAAAAAAAAAAGTTGGGGAATTTTTATACACCAGAATGACAGTAGTTTATTCCACGCTACGTGTCCAATAAGAATAACTGTTTCTTTTTGTTCGTGTCAACACAATAACCTTTATTGCACCCACAACTTTATCTGTCTTTCCGTCTTTCTTCAAATGGCAAACAATGCTGCTGATGTATGTAACATTATCAACTGTCTGTGAGAAGTCTGACATGCTCGTAGGGCGGAAATCACAGCGCGTAGCTTGATGATCAAATACTAACCTTTTTTGCTATCAGCAAATCAGAAACCGACTCTCAGTAAACCTTGGCATAGAAAATGTCAACTATCTCACAAACTTTCTTCAATCGATTACCTATTACAAACTTCGTTAAAACATTCATATACAGCCTTTGAGAACGTTTAACCCATATTTTCGAAATTTAGTTACAATATGATCCTCGGCAACAGTTCGGCAGACAGGCGTGTTTTGGCGGTTTCGCCATCATAAAGCTGTTTTTCGGCCATTCGCTCCCTATCGTACAGATTGAGCGCCGAAGAATGATGAACTGAAGTCAAGTGAAATTATCAGTGGCAGTTTTTCTACACACGATGCCTTTCGGCTGAGCAATAATATCTTCTTTAATCGACTGTTTATCACGCTGAACGACTAAATGTGGTTTTAACGAAGTTTGCAATTAATTAAGGAAAGGATTTTAGCCCATGCTAACCGCAAGATATCGAGTGCAAATAAACTGCTACTGGTAAATAAATCTGATTATTATTTTTTGAGCCATAGATGAGTGTGGTCTGTTATGGGCACTTACAGAGCCGATACACGTGTTTCGGCTTTAACAGCCTCGTCAGTTGGGCAGAATCTGGCATATTGATGAGCACGGTCTCAAGGAAATACTCAAAACGAGAGGTTTGATATATTAACGATAGCAGCCACGAGCAATCGAGATGGGAATAAACTCTGAGAAAGTGCTTGTAAAACATTTATTTACCCAGGTGTCTGTAGAGTGCTGTCCAAAAACATTGGCGTCAGCCAGGATTCGAACCCAGTTCTCATTCTTTCCGTGAGTGCGTACTGATCCGTTGCACCACCGACGCTTATCATAATATTAACATACATTAATGCACCTATTATAACCGAACTAAGCAAAGCTAATAGTCGAAGTACTTCCCTTAAACTTCAGGCACTTCCTGCCACTTCTCCGCCAAAGGATCGATTCCGCGAGCATAAAATTTTGATTTCTTGCTGTTGAGTAAATGAATGACCGAATTGTGCAATTCAATATCGGTAGCAAACTTTTGCCGCGCAATCAAGCATTCGCTTCTCCTTCCAAAAATCTTTGACTGGAGTGCTCGACAATTTCTGCCCTTCTGATAGTCACTGGTTATGCCCTGCATGGATTGTCGGAGCATACCTACTTTTCGTCCACAGTCACAATGTCTTTAAAAATTTTCGGATCTTTCTCGTGCAACGCAACCAGACGAGTGGAAAATCCAACACTTGTCAACTTTTGGACATCTGTCAGCTCGTGCGGGACCCACTTCGACTTCTTCCAGTTTTTGCCAAGCTCATGCAAGACGTTCACAATGGTTTTGTGGATACAATGAAGTCATCAGCCAGCATCCGAGTTGTCAAAGAGGGAAATTGTTTCTTCGCCTCAAGCCAGAATGACGTTTTCACTTGCCCCCGTTGCGTTTAAAGTCAACATGGAAAACCAGCATGACCGTGTTGTTGTTCAAAAAGGGAGACCTTCACAACATAGGCAGTTATCGCCCAATCAGCTTGCAATTTCTTCGTCTTATAAACTCTTCACTCGAATCATCCTGTACAGGGCTGATAGAACATTAGGCGAAGGACAGTTACGCCAACAAGCATGGTTTTCCAAGAGAATTTAGTACTATAGGCCACATCCACGCGATCACAAGACTCACTGAAAATTTTACGAGAGTGCAAACTAGCGCTCTCTCTCACTTTCATCGATCTGAAGAAAGCCTTTGATTCAGTGGAAACAGAAGCGGTCATAGAAGCTCTGGACAACCAGGCGTCCTACTAGGTACATAACGATTCTTCGTGGGATATTTAAAAATTTCATAGCCAAATCATCTCTGTTCTACAACAATATTACCATAGACGCAAGAACAGAGGTTTCAACAAGACGATAGAATTTCGCCAAGATTATTCAGTGGTACCGTCCATAACGTCATGCGAACGTTAGAATGGAGCGATATAGGAGTGAAAAATGACCGTCGACAATAACATCATCTTCGCTTTGTTGATGACATCGTATTCATAACACCAAGCATCAGCCAAGCTAACGGATATTGACCGATTTCGACAACGCGTGTGGAAGGATTGGCCTACTGCATCCGACTCAAACGATGTTTATGAGGAATGGATGGGTTTTGAGTGTTCCATTCACCTTCAAAAAAACTAGCATCTCTCTTCAGTTACCTCAGTGTAGGTCTTGAATCAACATCATGAAACGATCTAGCTCTAGAGTTGAACAGAAGGAAATAATCGGCTTGAGGAACGTTTAAGAGCATCGCGATGCAGTGAAGAGGACAAATAACATTCAGACTCCGTGCCCACCTTTTCGACTCGATGATTATCTCTGCTCTAACGCATGCAGCAGAAACTTGATCGCTACGAAAGCAGGATGGAGATTGCTTGGCATTATTGAACGCGCAGTCAAAAGGTTGCTGCTAGTAGTATCCCGTATCTCGCAAATAAGAGAAAGGATCCAAAGTTTCAAGCTAACGCCAACGTTCGAAGATCAAAGACGCCGTTGTACACGCTGGGATATCGTAAATAAGATGTGATGGATTCTTGATGCGCTTTAACAACAACCGATGGACGAGAGCCGTTACCGACTAGATTCCTTGGCTTATCAAGCGCTGTACGGGATGGCGCCGACCCGATGGTTCGATTTCTGCTCGAAAAGACTAGAAGAAATATATGATGATCAACGAATCCCTAAAGCGATAAGGATCCACTGGGCTTCTCTTGCACGTGGGGGAATGGAGTTGCTGCGGGTACCCGCTCGAGTCACTTGACGCATCAATGGGACTACAGGTGATACAGGTGAATATACATTTTCTATTATATTCTTGGTGCTTTTGTCTTCAATCGGCGGCTTGGAAAATTTTGATTCTGACAGTATGCTTCATGTATAAAAAAGACTTTCGTACGTTCTACTTTTGAATGAAGATACCGCTCTGTAATCGAAGTCTAATTTTCTAGATAATAGATGAGTTTTTCAGGATTATGTGGTTAGATTTCAGTTTTCATAAATTTTTCTGCCAAAAAAATTACATTATTGTGAAAGGACTTTGTAAAGACATTTCTGGAAAAACACCACCCAGCTGTATCCAAAATTTTTGCTTTTGAAAACTAGTTCTTTTGCATGCAACCGCATTTTAGGGATAGCTCTCGTGAGCTTTGGTTTTTTTATAAAAAAGGCATGTTCCTCTAGATCATTAGCATTCGCTCGACAGCTTGTTTTAGGACCAAGATGGATTTCGAAAAGAACAGCTCCTGTTTATGCTACTAACAAAAATAGTGATTTGTTGTTCTTGCCTCAATCAAGTCGTCCTTTCAATTTACAAGCGGATTTCTCGATATGTATATAGTAGGACTTTATACTAATTATTCCTCATTATAACAAAATTTTACTGAGATTTTATGAAAGAGAATTGTACAAGTGCAATTTCAGTGAAAAGAACGCCTATATGTTTTAGAAAATACTTTCATTCACGGAAACGACATTCTTGAAAAACGCCTTAAACACTCAAAAAATGCATAAATCTAAATGCTATATAATCATATAATCTATATACACAATGGTGATGTTAACAGTTTATCATTACATTCACCAACAAACAACGTCCGTAATAACAACTTGCTATAGGTCAAAAACCAGAACCTCTTAAAGGTTAACACCTGACAACTAACGCAGAGACGTCGAAGAATGAGTGGGGGCGCAAATGTGCCTCAGGGGTATAGTTGTAGTAGTACGCGTCCCCGGTATGGATGAAACGCTGGTTCGATTCCCTCCTCAGACAGTGTTTTTTGCTTACCACATAATTCCCTTAGGTATTTGTAATAATAACATCAAACGAAATCAATCAATCTTTAAAATTGACATCGGTCAACATTCCTCATTTTGCATACCCCTGAAACAATTTGTACATATGTACATTATATGCATCAATCATGTTGCTAATAAATTTAACAGTCTTCGTATCCTAAGGCAGTCCCTCTCTATTTTATTACAATCTACAATATATAATATGCAATTCTTACGTGAATATATAGCTCTCCTTTATCCCCACCCTGTCTGAACCCTTTGACATAAAACGTATTTTATGCTTTTGTTCAGAGTGTTAACAACAATTCAATAGCTGAATTGAGGTGACTTTGAACAATATGTTTGTTTTTCAAATGGCTTGTTTTTTTGGGCTTTAACAATAGAAGTAATTTTCGTTCCACATTTAAGGATTTCTCGCCGCATTTCAGCGAAATACTGATGTATCATCCAACTAATGCTACAATTTCATTGATAATAAATTATGATGCATATGCATATCGACGAACGAAACTATTCTATGACAATGAACTCCTTAGTATAAGATAATTACAACAGAAATGTTGTAGAAGTGTGAAATGAAGGAATAAAAATCCACAAAAGAAAAGACCAATCTTCGACACCAGATGACTGACATCTCAGTATTTTTTCCAATACAGTTTAGGAAATTTGTATCACAATGGCAGCGCAGCTGGGTCGAATAACTGTGAAAGAAATGTGATTCTCAACATGCCAAACGTGTACAGACAGTTCTATAGATATCACTTTTCATATGAGTTGCTTATTGCAGAAATGAGACGAACCGCCCGAAGCTCAATTTGGTGAGAAACGTCATCATCTGATAAAAAAAACTGTGATTGCTACAAAGAAAAATGCTTTCTTTCTACGTTAACTCTGCACCTGTTTGCATAGATTTCCCAAAAAACTGAAAATCGGTGTTGCGCGACTACCAGCAAAATTCATAAACCTCTTAGAGAGCAGCGTAGTAACGAATTTATTTGCGTGACTAATTTCCAATTTCCACTACCTCTATGCTGTTGAATGCATTTCATGGCGCGCTTATTTTCCTTGCGTCCTCATAACGTCATGCCTATAAATGAGCAGCTAGAGTATTTGAATGCGTCCAATCTCCTGAACGTGGACGAGAATTTGAAATAAGATCGTTTTCCTGAAAAAAATCGCAGTTCAGTATCATCTACTCGATCGAATAATCTTTACAAAAACCGTTGAATTCACTCAGTATTCATTAATGTGGCTGCTACTTAATATCTTGATAAAGTGTTGAACCTTGCACGTGCAATGAGCGCGAAAGAAATGGAGAAGGAGACACACTTTCGAAGGAAAAGATTTGAGCCATATCTGGGCTTCCCAAAGAAATCGTCAGCAATCATAACGCATCCGAAGGCACGTACGTAGCAGATAATATCTTGCATAAATGTCAAGTTCAGACTTCAAAAATCCTAGCATCTACAGTACCATGAGTATAGCACAATAACCGTAGCATAATCAGCCTGCCATAATAAGAAGCTAGAAAACAGATAAGCGAAAAGAACTGCAAAGATCATTTATTCAAGAGCAACCGTCTCTTAAGGAGACCATTCAAACGAGAGGGAGACTATTTGTTTGAGGATAACCCGCTGTATACATGGCTACAAATATTTTACAGGATGTGGGACTCGCGCACGCCATTAACTCCATTAATGCTTATTGCACAAAAAGAAAGAAAGTAATACGGGCTGAAGTCCTCACCACTCGCGAAGACAGAACGTGCAAGTTATCCGTTTGGGCGACATATCCAGACACACAACTATTCGAAGGTCTTTTTCGCTAGTCAGTACTACTCTTATAATAATTGTCAGAAAGCTTAATTCTCAGCTATTTCATCACTGCGCTTTTTTCCTATATTAAAAAGGTTTTTTATCGGCCCATAGCAACGAAAACACGATTGCTTCCCACAAGTTACCCTTAACTTTTTTCCTCCTCTGTGAATGGTTTTTCATCAAGATTTAGTAG